TTGATATGCAATTTTTAAATATTTTTAAAAATCTACTTCTTATTTTAATTTGTAATTCTATACTTTTGCTTTGTACAACCTGATAAAACTCTGACAGTAATATTTAACGTTCCTTCAAACATAAAAGAGTCCTATATAAATTTTTGATATAGTTGCGTCCCGCCATTTGACTGGTGTTTTTAATTGCGGCCTCCGGCCTCACGTAAGTTGGAAATCCCTGGTATAAAAGAATACCCTTTACCATACCTGCACAGGGACTGATATTTTTTTCTTCATACAAGAACAAATAAAACTTGTTACGTAACAAAATGAGTTAAAAAAAGTTTTCTTGGCTATGATTATTGAGCAACAAGAATGAATGGGGAAAATGCATTGCTGCCATACTTACTTGCTTAAGCTCTTTATGTTCGTCATAAAACGCGCGTCCTCTTCTTATCAACAATCCTACAATCTTTGGCTTAGGATCTGACTTCCACTAATCCTTTAAAATACTTAAGTACTAAAACATAGTACGCGTCTCGTCCATTTTCCAGTTTTTCTTATTGATTTCCTCTTAATTAAATTAATATATTATAAGTTGGTAAGTTGTAAGTTGGGTTTGCTTTTACATTGATTTCCTCTTCTATTCTAAGTTGGGTTTGCTTCTACTAATAGAATTTCTTTTCTAATTTTGAAAGGCTAAAAAATTTTGGCTTTGTTGTCATAAACAGCACTTAATTATTCTGATCAAGTTTAGCCAGATAAAAGGAATAACACTATTCTCTATAGATTTAGAAAATTAATTTTGTGTGTAGCATAGTCAACTGTTAACTGATCTTACAGCCATAATTTAAATATTTGTCTTAATCTTGATCAACATAAAATATCACTTCCCATATTTGGACAGGAACTCGTATTTTTTTCCTTTATGCACGAACAAGCAAACTTGTTGCGTAATAGAATCGGTTAAACTTTTTCCCTCTCTAAGATGATAGAGGGAAATATTTACATATTTCTCTAACTCAATTTTTTTAATCATGTAGCTCAAATTTTAGCCATATTTTTTAATGTTGTTTTCTATATAGCGCTCAATAATTATCATCTTCTTTGTAAGTATAATAGCCGTATCAAAGTTACGTGATTTACCCCTCTCTCCATATTTTTCCCCTTTCCTTTACCATGGTTTCAGTAAATTTTGCATTTTCCCTACGAAGGTACGTGTGAATCAGAAAGTGAGATATTCTAGCTAGGGTAAAGAGTATAATTTGCTGAAGATGCCTATTTCCTTTACAAGGGCATAAAACATGAAAATTACCTTTAAATAATTTTTTTTAATTTTTAAATATCCTTGGTTTTTATACTATTTATGAAATCCCATTTTTTCCTGTAGGCAAAGAAGAATATACTATAGAGGATTCTAACAGTTACATCGACTCTGTTCTCACCAACCGTTTTCTGTTCGAATCGAAGTATAGCAAGTTGGATCCTCTCGTTTTGAGTAGCACTCGCTTGGAGAAAGTTTTTGTTCGAGATTCTCAAAATGAAGACGCAAATTTCCTCAAACTTGAGACGGGCAAACTTGAACACCTGTCCAACGTAAGGAGGAATTCCGAATGCAGCATTCCCGAATTCATTGAAAGAAACATTACTTTTGAATGCTCTCTTGGATTCGACGAATTAACTTTGAAGTACCAAGCCGAAGCTCACAATGGCAGTGAAGTTTATAATTTCCAACTCATCGTTACAGTCAAACAAACGAAATTATCGTTAAAGGTTACATCTACCTTAAGTGACAATGTTCCAACAATCCTTGATTATTCAGTCGACGATGTGGGCAAAATCAGTATAACAGCTGCCATAGATATTGTGGGTGCCCAAACGAGGTCACCCTCCTCGATAGAAACTCTCTACAACAGCAAAGTCATCCTGACGTACTTTTCCGAAGAAGTAAATAGCATTTTGAAAGGACGATTTAAAGAAGTCTTGAATTACAGCATTTACAAAACACCTCTGCATTTCTTGGACTCTTAAAATGTATCTTCTGTTAATGAGTTATTGTTCCGTTACCTAAAATGTAGGACAACTAGCTAGGTTTTTGAAAAGGGGCAAAAGACACAAAATTTCGAAATTTTTTAAGTTTAAAATTATGCGAACATTAAATATTTATTTTATCTGGTAAACGTAATCTGCCATAATTTCTATACTTCTTTATTACAAAAGAATTAGTTAGCAATTTGTGGCATCTGTAGAAATCTTTACAAACGAAGCAGCCGAAGTATTTACAGATTTTGTTTGAAGTCAACAGCGTAGCTTTCGTTTTTATTTCATTTTTTTTTCTTCAGGATAGGTCGTAAGACCAAGCGGTATATTTTGAGGAATTTTGAGGAAGCAAAAATGAGGAAAATACTGTAGTCATTGTGGGTCTCAAATTAAGGAGGAGAAAATTATCAAAACTTGACGAATTGTGAACGAGGAAGGTCAAGTTGAAAGCTCCAAGCCTTGTTTGCTGACTGAAGAAAGCAAAAAGGGAGTAAGCAATTATAGAATGATCTCTAAATTTCAGACAAACATTCTTCACATTTCGATAGTGTTTTTGTTTTTAAATAAAATGTCTTCATTTTTGACTAGTGTAATAGAAGTGAAGAGTGAGGATTTTAGGACACTCTGCATGAAAAATGAATTTGAAGCGAATGGCATACAAAGTTTCTTCGTCAAATTATTACAAAATTTTTAATTTTTGAAAATAATTTTATGGGTTCTATTCAAAATTGGCAATGCTAATTTTTGTACATTTTAATTTTCTTAAAATAAGTGAAATATTTTGTTTTAAAAATTTTACCTCATTAAGTATTTGAGCAGAATAAAATTTAATACAATAATATAAGCATTTAAAAAAAGGCTCGTAAAATGTGTCTTAATGCTCCTTAACTGTAAAACATTGGAATGCCCTATTTTTGCAGGAGAACTGCATTTGAACTTGTAAATAATCGAAAATCTTTTATTTATTAATGGATGAAATTGTAATAAAGTGTACATATCAAAATAATTTGTTTAGTGAGTCTTTTACTTTCATGATTTACATTTTATAATACAACTAGGGTGTTTTGCCTCTACTCGCTGCCGCTCTCAATTCTTACAACGCAATATCAGCTTGGTAATAGGTGAGAGTAACAGGGAGAAGTTTGTGTGTGCAGCAAGGGAGACTGCAAAAAATATAACAGGAGGTATTTTTTTCAGGATTTTTTCAACAATAAAAATATTCAGTAAAATATTTCCAAAATCATGTACCGTAGAACCCCGTTATAATGAATTGTTTGCGGATCCAGCAATAAGTCAACTATAAACGGTAGTTCACTATATCCGAATTCTTTGAAAATGGCCCTTTGACAATATCATTACTGTAAAAAGTTATTACGGTAGTAAGTATTTTGTTTATAAATTAATAACCATATAAATAGATAATACATCAAATATGTAAAAGGAACATGAATGAAATAATTTTTATATTCTGGGAAAGAAATTATACTTTTCGATTGACTGTACTATTTGATTTTCAGGAGAGTTTACCTATTTTTGTGACAATAATTAGTTAAGAATTCAATATTATCTCGTTCTCCTTTTAAAAAAAAATTGAGAACATCCAATGCTAATTTCACTTCCGAGATAAAAGTTTCCAAAATTTCTTTTCCTTCTTTAACATAAGGGGAGGAATGTTCTGCTTAACAACTTCTTCATCCAAGTTTAAAAGTACTAGATTTGAGTTTGTCATCATATGCAAACGCAACTCTTGCCGAATTGAAGAAGTGAAAAAAAATGCGGAAATTTTTTTTTACGATAAACGATTTTCCATTTTTTTCAACTGTTTACTATAAGCGTATAAAATGACGTAAATTGAATCGGAATTTTGAATGGACCACTAAGAAAGTTCATTACAACCGTGTTCATGAGTTCAAAAGCTTATTACAACCGTGGATACATGTTCACTGTAACCATGTTCATTTTCCCTGTTCATTATAGTGAGTTACGACACATCCTTTTCCTGAAAATACTTTTACGCATGGGATCAGAAATTTTCACAAACAGTTTCATTCTTTTGATTAAACTATACTAAATTAACAAATTTTGACAAAATATGTACATTTTTGACGATATTCAAATTTTTTAAACAAAAAAAAATCATTCTTTATTTAAATGTGTTGTTATTTTAATCAAATATAATGTTACGGAGGCGCAAAAGAAGGAACGGTGAGTTTCAGGGTTCGATAGATTTTCAGTTCACACATTAAATATATTTTTTATTCTATCTTCTAACAAAAAAATGCTTGTTAATTAAAGCATTAAGTTAAAAATGCCAATTTTGAGCCCATTTCACGAATCGGAGTTTATTTAAAATATCACGTCATAGGCATTAATTATAATTGTTGAAAATTAAAAGATTATGACAGTTAGAGCAAATACAGTATATACAGTACTGTATTTACTGAATAAAATTTTTATACAGTTGTACAATTTTTATACAGTATACTCTCGATATCTAGAACTTCGATATCTCGAAAATCTTGTAAAGTCAAAAAACAATTTCCCCCTTGGTATTACACGTCCAGTTACTATTAATTTGAATTTCAATGTCAAAGAGTTTCTTCTCAAAACCCTGCTATGTCTTATATTATTTGGAATAGAAAATGAATTTTTTATGAAGTTTTATGCAAGTTTTTTTATGTATGTTTGTATTTTTAATGCTATTATTAATGTAAGTTTATTGTCAATCCATTCGTTTCTCTTTAATGCATTTTTTTCTTACATTTAAAAATGAAATTAATTATCACTGCAGTATTTATATTTATAGTCAACTATTATTGCGTACATAATTATTAGTAGTCATTCTAATTTTCATGACTCTACTTTTTAGAGAACTTTTTTAGAAAATTTTTTTCTTCTTTTTTAGAATACATCTCCAAAACTCGCTATCTCGAAATTATTTAGCTTTCCTCCAATTTTGAGATATCGAGAGTAAATCTTACCTTTTTCAGTGTCTTTAGGTTCACGTGAATGGCAAGTTCTGTTTTCAGTTTGTCCGGAAGAATTCCTAAGGCTGAGTGAATGTCCCCTCCTCCCTGCATTCGACCCCTAAAAAGATATTTTAAAAAGAAGCGTTAATGAATGATAGGAGCGAATGGATTTGGGTCGTTTTCATAACTCGGTCCCACATAATAATATTTTTTCTTGAAAGTGTCAATTTAAGTTTTCTTTTTAAAACGAGCATCAGTACTGACACTTTCAAGCGAGAATAAATATGGCACTATCAAACGGACCTCGGACCCAATCCTTCAAATTTTATTTTATCGCAACATTTGTTTATTTTGAACTCTTAAAGTAAAGATTCATAGAATTTTTTACCAAATTTTTGACAAGAATTTCACATAATAGAGTTGTTACAAAGCATGCAAGTTAAAAACTCGCAAAGAACTAAAACAGCATGTGTTTTTAATAATACTGTGTAACAGTTTGATATAAAAACGTGTCATTGCATTAATAACGAGTAGCTTATCGTGCAAATTTGCTAGAAAATCAAGTATATAGTATGTTCATAAAAATAGATTTTATTTTTATCTTTTTTAGATATCACAATTAATTGTGAATAGGTTCTAGTTAGTGATAACTTTAATATGTTCCAGCCTGTAACAACTTGAAAAAGTTTTTCTGCAATTGATTTCAATACGAAAAGATATTTGCCATATTCTGTTAAAATATGAATAAATATATTTTTAAAATTGGTTCTGATTGCAAGTTCCAGACTTATGAAGATAGGTTCTGATTACAGTTTCCAGACTTGCATCGAGACTTCAAGTAAGTTATGCATTAAATCAGTCAATCAACATTAGAAGTACATAACTTGTTTACAAAACTTTAAAAGATTTCTTAACGTTTTCAAAGAAGAGGATACAGATAATATGGAAGGATTTGCTATAAGCATTATTTCTTTCTGATTTTCTTTTAGATTAACTTTCAAAACTTTTGTTTTCTATTGCAAATACTTTAACTTCTGTTTATGAATGATTACAAGATTTACCGACACAATATGGACATACGACACAAACGTACGGAGAATATTTTTTTAAGTTAAAATAAATACTCTTTTCTTTATTCATTGCATTTACCTTTCTTTTCAGAAGAACAATATAATTTTATAGTTGTCTATTTTTCCAACATTTTCAAATTCAACAAAGTTTCTGATTTTAAAAAAATCAGAAATTGAAGTACTGTACAAAAATTGAAAGTCTGTATGAGTAAAATGCAATTATTTTTGTATTCTACATATTTACATACGTAAAATACATTATTCTGATAAGGCAAAAAAACTCTTGTCAAAAGTGAATTTTGTATCAAATTTCAAATTTACTTTTATCTTTAGTTCCCGATAGCTATAAAAAAATTTAAGTTCGGCCTATTGCCTATTGCCAGGTAAAAATACTTCAGAATAAATTTGATTTTCAAAAAAGCAATATTTTATTTTCGATTTTTATAGGAAGGAAGCTGAGAATGGGAATGCTGTACTCTTAGATCCTTTATAATCTTGTATCATTTCTTTTTCATAAATGTTCCCTTTCTAGTAAAAAAGAATTGATATGAAATTTCTAATCTAGCCATCCTATAAGAATTTCAACCAATGTATGTCGACACTATAAATGAGCACAAATTTTTTTTCCTCTTCTTATAAGGCAAAAACTCAACAATATTTAAGAAAATGTCTCAAGTTTGTCGTTAATACACAAAAAATGTTCGGGATAAAATATCTTCAACCTGAGGAGAATGATAAATTCCTTTGTATACTTTCGTCCAAAATGTGATTTACATTTACAAAGACGACATCATTTTCGAAATCTTTTATTCCCAACTACCATTAAAATCTTTTGAAGAAGGCCTTAGCAATCATTTATCACAAAACCTAAAATTTTTTTTTCCTGAGCAGTGTATTTTTTTTTTTAATAGATTAGGTAAGTTTCAGCATTTGATAAGTTATTTATGATGCCAGGATACAATTTTAGTTTAAGAATAAAAATGCTCTGAGTTTTATGTGTATAAAAAAGCATAGCAAATTTTTATGTATAATGTTTCGAAATTACTTTAAAAAAGAAAAAAATCTTGGAATAAATTTTTACAAAAATTAATCTTTGCCTCAGGAGTAAAAATAAATCGTAATATATATATATATATATGTTACGCTTTGAAAGCCTAAATATTGTAAGTTTGTAGTGTGGCCGGTGCTTCTTGAAAAAGATACAGGAAAATGCAGGAATCATAATATAATTTTATTAAAGTACGGGCCAGAGCCCCAGAATGACAACCTTACATGCTGGTGGATAGGTAGAGAATAGCACATTTGACCTTGGAAAGAGGGTTTTTATATCNAAAATATAGCAGATTTAATCAACAAAAATGATTACAATGTATTCTCAGAGAAACATTGTAATTAATAGTTCAGTACTGTTTACCAATAATTTAAAAATACAGCACAAACTTACAATAAAGAAAAACAGAAAACTTGTTTTCTCCACCCCAGCCCCAGTAGTAGTTGGGAAGAGAGGAGGTTGTAAACCCGTTTTAATAACCTGAGCTGTTGTGTCCCTTAATGCTATTTTTTCCTTTAAACGCGGGAACCACACCTAGCCAAGCTTTCATTATGTCAATGAAAGCTTGACTTTTTCTCCTATGTATATTCTTTGGTTTGGGTATCTTTTATTACTTAGTTGTTTTTTTTCTTCTTCCATTGATTGGATTTTAAATATTAGTAAATTCGGTAAAACTGGTTCTCGACCTTAATTTAACCGAAAAACCTACTAATTATATTTTCATTGGTTTAAATGTAATCGGGGAACACATTTACAAGGAGCAATGCAGCAAATTTTACGTGTAATGCTTCGATTTTTTTTCAAAAATAAATAAATAAAATCTTGAATAAATTTTTTACAAAGAGTAATTATTACCTTAGAAGTAAAGATGAATCGTAACTGTTACTTTTAAATCGCAAGTTAAGTCTAAGATGATGCAAATTTGTTATAAAGTATCATACCTTCGTTTGGGTACCTTTTATCATTTAATTGTTTTTTATTATTTTTAAAATTCCGTGGATTGGATTTTCCATATTAGTAAATTTGGTAAAACTAGCTCCCGATTTTAAAACCAAAACACCTACTACAGTATACTCTCGGTATCTCAAAGTTGAAGGGAGCCTAAAAAATTTCGAGAGAGCGAGTTTTCGATAAAAACAAGTTCAGAACTAAATATGCTATAAAAAGTAGAAAAATATATTCTAAAATATTACTCTAAAACGTAGAGTCTTGAAACATAAAAATAACTAATAATAATTGCTTACGTAATGATAGTTGACTATTTGTTCTAAATACAACAATGATCGTTTTATTTTTAAAAGCAAGAAAAAAAAAGTTATGCATTAAGTAGAAAATAATTGGTTTACAATAAACTTATATTGTGATTTTTTCAAAAAAATTCATTTTCTATTTCAAAAAAAAAAAAAAAAAAAATTCGACATAGCAAGGTTTTGAAAAAAAAAACCTTCGACATAGGAATTCAAATTAACATTACATAGATATGTAATGCCATGGGGGAAAATATTTTTTGACATAACAAGATATTCGAGATATCGAGAGTATATTGTAATTATCGTTCTCATTATTTGGAATGTGACCGAGGAACATTTTTTTAAGGAACACACAGCATTTTTATTACTAACATACAGCTTCTGACAGCATTTTTGTTATACGATTTGGGAAGTGAATCAGAGGACGATTGCAGAACAACAATATGTTTTAACTTTGAAAAGGCTCCAATCTTGTTAAACGTCTCCAATGTAAATATATAAGAATAGTGTCACTTACCTGGACCATGAATAGTCATACCACCGTTGCACTCTTCTTTGCATCCCTTTTGGCACTTTGTGATGTCGCATATACAGTTTGGCACCATCCTAAAGACAGAATTCATTAATTTATGTAATCAAAAAGCATCCCCTAGAAGAAAGAAGGCCTCAGCACGGATCAAATTAGTAGTTCGAAGTAACGAACATGAACTGCGCGGTGGATAAAATATACGAAAGATGTCATTCCGTTTGATCTACTGAAGGATCAAATTTCTTGTTTATGGTAACCCGTGGTGAGACCTTCTCTTTTCTAAGAGGTATTGAATCAACGCCCTTATTTTGTTCACTGAGGCAAAAAATTGATCTAAACAACAAGAATATGGTAAAATTTATCCTATTTCTTTTTCTGTGGAAACATCAAAATATTCAGTAATTTTAACCGAAGAGCTTTGGTAATGATTTTAGTAAAATTAGCAAAAAAATATGGTTTTATAATATGTGATAAAACTGTGGTAAGATTCGGCAATGTTATCATGATAGCTTAGAGAAGGTCATAGAATCCATTTACTGGTGCTGAGTTGGAGATGGATCATTCTCTGGTTCAGGTCAAAATTATGATCTGTGTTTGAATGAATGGCTGTATGAATGGGTCCAATCTATAAATGGGGCGACATATATGTGGCTGAAGTCGTATTCTTGGCCATAGATGGCGCCCCTGAAAAACAAGAAACGCTCCCTTTGCCTTAAATTCGATTAGTTTCACCAAACAATCTTGCCGGTTTGACATTTATAATAACAACCATTTATTTGGATAAATTTACTTTTCAGTTTTGTGTTTTTTTAAAATGTGTGGTAATAAAAACGAAAATTTTGAAAGCCAGAATTTCCAGTACATCATTACCATATGGACGGATAAACTACCAAATGAATGGTTTAAACAAAGTATAAGTTGATTTTATTAACCAGAATTATGATATTGTTCTTTTACCAGAAATGTTATTACTATACAGTACCGAATTTTACCACCATTTTTTTCTTGTTCTAAAGTCCTGTTCAAAAATGAAGGGAAAAAAATGTAAAACAGAGATCGTAAATAAGTATTTAAATGAGCAAAAATAATTTCTTAAAACCTGTTGGATCATTCATGAAAACGTTATTATAATCTTAGGGGTGCACAACCTGCGCCCCGCGGGCCAAATGCGGCCCTTCGACTGCTGAAGTGCGGCCCGCTAAACACAATAAAATTTTTTTTTAAAAATGGCAATTTTTAATCGCACTTTTAAGTCATCACGTTTTGACACAATCAATTTTAACAGATTCTTTAGTAAATGTACGTTTAACGTGCTTTCTTTAAGCTGATTTTATCGTAAATATAAATGATTTTTTATAAACAGTTATTTCCGCTTTTCTACGTGATTTCGAAAATCCCGAATTTTTATTACGATGCGAGTTTCAGATCGCAAATTTAAATAATCACTTTTTGCGCACTTTATTTGTGACGATTTCATCTTAAATCTAAATGATTTTTTATCTTTCTTTTTGCAATTCTTTCTTTTTTTTTTCAACAATTTTTTTCGGCAGTTATTGCTATGCGTTCCCACGTTTTATAAAGAATTCCAATTGTTCTATTACGACATACAAATTTTAAATCATGCATTTGACACGCTTTATTCGTGCTGAGTTCAACATAAATATATTTCCCCCCTCTTATTTCTATACTTTTCCACATGATTTTGATGATCCTGTTATTTAACTATGATGTTATTACGACACGTGATTGTTAATCACGCAATTAAATAATCCCTTTTTGATACGGTATTTCGGTACAGTTTTATCGTAAATCCTACTTATTTTTCCTTCGTTTTTATTTCCGCAGCGAATATGATTTGGTCGAATGTAGTAATGAATTGTGATTTGATCAAAAATCAAATATTCGGCAAAAAAAAGAAGAAAACATCGACTGAAGCCGTACACTTGGGACCAAATAGCAAAATCTTTTAGCAGCATAACAACACTGAAACTAAAATTTCAATGCTCAGAATAATATTTCCTGGAAAAACGCATTCATTAATTAACTCTAAAAAATAAGGCCAATCACGAACGTTTTTGAAAATGTCGAAAAGCGAAACAGAGAACATAAAAATCAATCTTAATTTTTGAAAATTTTTTTTAAAGCTGAACATCTCAGTTTTTCAATTACCAGAAAAAGCCAAGAAAAAAGAATTAAGTCAACAGAAATGCTATTAAAAATTACTGCGTTATAATGAAAACGTCTAAAAAAAGTTTTTTTTTTTTTTAAAGAAAATAAAAAGATAGAAAAAATGTTCTTAATTTTTTAAGTGAAAATCTTATGCCGAAAATCTCAATTTAAATTTTTCTCATTGCCATAATTTTAGAAGAAAAAAAATTGCTATAAAATAAATTTTATTTGTAACTTTATTTTTAAAAAAAATGCTGAGTCATAATAAAAATGCCTAAAAAAAGAAAAACAGAAAAAACAAATTTTTCTTAGTTCCTGAAACAAAACTTTAATACTGAAAATCACACTTTTCTATGTTACTGGTTATTTATATTACAGTACAGGGAAAGAGTGATAATAAATTAATAGTATGAGACGTTCTGTTAAAATGCTGGGTTATAATAAAAACTGCAAAAAATGGATCCTTCTCAATTCTCAAAGTATCGAAAAAATGACAAAATTGACTTGTCTGATTATAATTTTAAAAAAAAAAAAATTAATATTTATATAAACTCAAAAATAAAAAAAACTTGGAAAAATACATTTCTAAAAAATATTCTGCCGAATATTTGACTGATCATTCAACCAACTGAATTTTTCACAGAAGGGCCAAATACTCGTTACATCCCTCCCTAATTTAAATGCAATGTTATTGCAACTTGAGAAATTCATAAAATGATGGAAAACGTGAATTTTTAAACTACTCACTGTCTGTAGTTTAGATTTCAAATTTTTGTTGCTTAAGTGATCTATTTCAAAAGAAAAAAAGGAAAATGTTTAGGATATAAAGAAATCTAATAATTAATAAAGTACCATTATTAAATTAATAAAATAATAAAGTACCATTATTAAATTAATAAAATAATAAAGTACCATTACAAAATAAGCATTGAATTTTATTTTGAATTATCACAGTTTTGTTTTTATTTTTGGCTTTTGTTTCAAACCTATAAATTTTCCTCAATTAAAATATTTAATTTGAAATTATATTACTTAATTATGACTTAACTTTTTCCTACTTTCATTCTGTGAGCATTGCAGTTTTTTTTTATTTATTAGAATTTAATTCTCAAATGAATTTTCGTATTGCATGATATGATAAAAAAAACATTTCTCTTCTTCAATGTTTATTTATTTTGATAAATCTATTGTTCATATGATAAAAACAGCAAGTTTTTCTTTGTAAAAAAAAGGTATAATTTTTATTTATTTTTGAATGAATTCTAATAATGGAACACTACTAAGTTATTGATATTACTAAGTTCATTGATAAAAAAAAAAATGGAACGCTAATGTTCAAATAAACATTACTACATTTGTCATTAACATGTCTAAATATATCTGCAGCCCTTCGTTAGCCAACCTGCTGTGCAAGTGGCCCTTCACTCAAAAAGATTGTGCACCCCTACTAGTGAATTATTATCCAGTAAAAAAATTAAAACCTGATAATTTATTATTGAAGACTTTATTTAAACCTGGTGAATCATTAATGAAGACTTTAGTAAATGAATCATCAGAGCCTGATAAATTATATGAATAAAAGAACTTAAAAGCATGTTTGATTGCCAGAGGAAACTGATAAGAAGTTAAAAGCGACCATTAAAAACACTCTCGCGTTTTATGGTTTCCATTTCACTTTCGATAGTGATTCGGGCGATTTTTGTAACGTTTTTGTTCTTTCCTAGTTATTAAATACTTATTTGCGAAACTCAATTAGCATACTTCGCCGACTTCATTCTTGACAAGGACTTTAAAATGCTGTTAGATTGGTGATCAAGGAACAAGGTGAAGCATCTTGTGTGCAATCTATAATGATCGGTTACCGAAGTTTATGTTATCATGATTTATTAATGAATTTGATTGAATTTGTTCTAAAAGTTTTTAACAATGTTACTTTATTTCCCCTTAAGTGATTTTTAAGAAAGTTCAAAAAAAGTCATTGAAAATTATGCACATTTAGGAGTAATACTTGTCGTGAAATTAATTTCCCCTTATGAATATCGAAATCAACTGATTTCTGCCCGGAGTACTTCTAAAAGAACGGGCTTTTAGTCTGAAAGGAAAAAATGACAATACAAGTGTTTCATAACTCAAATTTATTTTCCCGAAGCAAGAAAGATCTGTTTGTGATAATGTATTAATAATATATATCTTTAAAATCGATCATGAATTAAAACATCTTTTTATAAAAAAACTTAAGTGGTAAATAACAGAAGGAACTGAAATTTCATTAAACAAATTAGTACTACCACTTTATTAATATAAGTAATTTTCATATAAAGAGTATTTTTTCAAGATAAGGGTTGGGTATTAATGGTTCGAAAGTCAAAATGTTTAGTTTGTTATTCTTTTATTGTTTAAAAAAGAAATTGTAACACTCAAAACAAAAATATTGACTTACCAAAAGTCGTTCAAATTCCAGTCTACTAGCATTTCTGTTCGTTATAACATTTCCCACCTGTCCTAAAATGAGAATATACATACATACATATCTATCTATCTATCTATCTATCTATCTATCTATCTATCTATCTATAT